CGGGTTTTCTGCAACCATGATGCGCGCGCATCCTGAATGTTTACAAACCGATAATTGGTCTACACGTTTATGTTCAGTTATTTCAAAAGAACCTATTCATTGCCATTAAAATACAATTACTACACCCGAGGCTTTTGCATCTGAACTATATACACGCACTCACACTAGTGATGTCCGGTTCGCGAACGAATCGTTCGATTTAAGATACAAAAATCCAAATTGTAAGAAACGTATCAGATTATAATGATGTTTTAATTGACTGATGTTATGATTACTGACTTTATATTTGAATGTGTTAAGCCCGCGATAGACTTAACGCCATTACGTCATCGCCAATGACGTCATTACGTCGAGCGTAAAAGGAACCGGTGAACCGGTTTTTTCAACCGGTTTATTGAATCGAACTGTCCGAAAGAACCGGTTCGCGGAAAATAACCGAACTTCCCATCACTAACTCACACTCTAAATTCTGATTGGATGAGCTGCGTTCGAAGTCGCAAAATAGCCAATAAACGTTCATCTAAGCAGCGTTGTTCGGTAGAAGAAAGAATTGTTAGGCAGAAGAACTGTTTATTCTTATTATTAATAGATGAGTTTGTGATATTGTAATGACAGAAAACTAATAAATATGATTTAGAACTCTAAAATGTGTGAGTACATGGCAAGAATTTTAAATATTTTTGAAAAACAGTAGGCTACTATACCGTAAAATTGTATTACAATTTAAAATAATTGTTTTCTGTTTGAATATATTATTGATTAATATATTAATAATTTAAAATGTCATTTATTCCTGTAATGGCAAAGCTGATTTTTATAGCCATTAGCTTACTCCTGTCTTCGGTGTCACATGATCCTTTAGAAATCATTCCATGTTTATTTGGTGCTCAAGAAATATTAAAAGTTGTGCTGTTTAATATTTATGTGGACACCTTGATACATTTACCCTTATATTCAAAGTTCATAAAACAGCGTTTATTTGAAATATAATTTTTGGCTGTTATGTTTGATCAAATTAATTTATCCATGCTGAGTACAAATATTAATTTCTTAAAAAAAAATCTTCTGATTCTTGATGAATATAATACTTTATAACATCTTTTCATAGAAATTAATGCATAAATGGATATTTATGTAATAGGGCCTCAGGAGTTGATTTTATATTTTGGAATGAATGGGATGCTTTACTCACCTGTATCCGCTAGGTTGCTCTTGAGCGCGGTGAGAGGAGGATAATCTGCCCACAGCTCAAGCGCTCAAGAGCCGATAAAGAGCTTCCATCTGACGCGCTGTGAACGCCGCGGTCTGCTGCAGTCACGCACTCAGTATCACTGGTTATGTACAACATGGAAGAATGCAATATCGAGGAATGTGATCAGAGCCGATCTCTTCAGCTGGTAAGCTCTTATCCTCATTCTACTGCTCCTGTCCCCACAAAATGATTTGATTATGCATTTATTTATTTTAAATTAAATACAGAAGCGCTGTTCAGTTATAATTCTATTATTATAATAGTGTCTCTGGTCCATTTATGTCTACATGTAACAATTAAATAATAATAGTAGTAATAATAATAGTTTACTATGTAATACTGTGAGGTATTACTTTTTTGCACGTTTTTTGCTTTCAGAGAAATAGTAGTTTGGTATAAAAAATTTTACTAGAAAAAGTAGAATACTACCCAGACAGCAACATAGTGTTGGCCCAGATCCGGCCCACATCTGGCCCATGTGAAATCCATGCGGGCCAGATGTGGGCCGGATCTGGGCCCAAACTGTCTGCTGTCTGGGTAGGCCTATGTGACATTTTAGGATATGACATTTTCCACAGTAGCCTACTATTTGGTTTCTGTCGTGGTGTCCTATTAACTGATAACAGACTGATGTTTGGACAAAGGATTTTGGGATGGGATCCATTTACTTCCAAAAGTCTAAGTGACCATGTGCCTCTAATATCTGACTTTATTTAGTCTCATTATATTATGGCTTAAAGGGGTCATATGATGCGATTTCAATTTTTCCTTTCTCTTTGGAGTGTTACAAGCTCTTGGTGCATAAAGAAGATCTGTAAAGTTGCAAAGACTAAAGTCTCAAATCCAAAGAGATATTCTTTATAAAAGTTAAGAGTCAGCCACACCTACCTAAAACAGCTCGTTCTAACACGCCCCCACATACCTACGTCACTATCTGGGAAGATTTGCATAACGCCGCCCAAATGTTCACGCAAAGAAAGAAGGCGTAACTTTTATTCTCGCTGTAGTATTGTTGTTGCCGCCGCCATGTCGTGAAGGCGCTGTGTGCTTCGTTGTGAAAGCGAAACTACTTTGTTTGGCCTTCCAAAAGAGGACGATATCCGCTTCGTCATGCCTGGAGCTGATCCGTGCTGGTCGCTGAGGAAATACTTCAACTTCGCGCTGTGGATCACCGGGTCGGCTTTCACCGTGGACGAACCGGAGTACAGCCCGGGGTCGTCACATGTGGTTGCCGCTGGCAT